CTCGTTCCTGGCTCTTCTCTCCTAGCCCTTCAAGCCCTTTTCCCCCTCTTCTGAGCCCTCGTTTCGCTATCGCCGCCACGGATGTGATATGGCGACCGTCTTGATGGCAACCCCGGCGCTACCACGTTCACCTCTCCTTCCACCCGTCTTAAACTACTCGTCTTTTTCGGTGTCGGTGTAACCCCTCTCCGCCTTATTCTTCTCCGCATCCCCCAGTCCCGCCTTCCCGTCCTCATCCCTCGCACCGTCGCCTTCGTCAGTATCCGGATCAATATCAGACCCCTCAATCGCGCTTCACCATCCCTTTCCTCACCATCCCCTCCTCCCTGCCTAACCTCCTTGTCCGCCATTCTCAGGTACCGAGCCGCACTGCGAGCCAACCTGACCTGGCGGGACATCCTGCGTCCCAACCTGGCTGCCGCCAAGCGGGGCGGCAACGCCCAGCCGGGCTTCAGCCGGTGGCTGGACGCCGCCATCACGGAGGAGCAGCGGAGGGCGGTGCGGGACGAGGCGGCCCGGGTCATACAGGTGGGGGGGAAGAGGGGGGGAAGGGTTGGGGGGGGGGAAAGACGAACCACACACGGGGGGATGGAAGACGAACCACGAACGAAGGAAGTTGATGCTTCAAGGAGGATATAGACTCTGACACGCCACTGAAGTTTGAAGGAAGTAATTTTGACAACCAGTCGCGGCTTGTGAAGGAGGAGGAGGAGTCTTCCCGACGATGTTGGTAGTAGTCATGACGATAGCGGAAACCTACCCACCTAACAAGGAGGGGAGGGGGCGTTGGGAGGGTTAAGGCGAGGGAGTTTTGGCGGGAATTCACTCCCCGTCGCTTTTCCAACCGCTCCTCGTCCGGGTGCACCTTCCGTCCCCCCTCCTCAGGCCGCCTGGAGGGCCTTCAAACGATCCCAGATCAACAGCGTCATGCGCCATGTTCGGGTAGGTGGTAAGGGGGGATGAGGGGATGGGGGTTGGCAGTTGGGCGAAGGCGGCAAAGTGAAGAAGGAGAGGAGCCAGAAGGAGGTCTATACACACATGCAAACCTACAGACATACAAACACATAGGCACACACACCTCACACCTCACACCCCAGGCAGCTGAAGTCTTATTCCGAGAACATTTCGACTCCCAAATCCCAAGCGGCGCGACGCACGTCGTATGTCGTACGTACGCCCGTAACGCTTGTAACGCCTATAACGGCAGCCAGATGTTAGAATCTCTTTTGAACTTGGTCGACCTCCCTCTCTCCCTGCTCTTGTATGGAATGTTCACGTATCGTTTGTTCTTTGATTGCCATTTTACTTTCGCATATGGGTTCTGTTAATGCCATGCCTTGCTTTTGGTTATGATAGAACTTCGAGATCGGCAAGTACGACTGGAGCGATGATGATTCCGTACCGTCGGACGAGCTGCCGGACTGGTGGGACGAGTCCGATAGCGAGGAGGACGATGAGGACGGCGAGGAGGGCAAAGACGGCAAGAAGAAGAAGGGCAAGAAAAAGTGAGAGGTTTCAAAAACGCATGTGCAGGGTGCCGGGTGGTTGCGTGTCCGACACCTTTGTCCACCCCACAGCCACACCCACACACTTTGCCTTGAGCGCGCGCACCCTGCCTTTCCCGCATGTTCAAGTTCTTTTCCCCTCCCCCTCATTTTCCTGGTATTCGTATTTCAAGCGGCTCCTCCCCCTAGGTGGGAATGAACACACAAGCCGCTGCAGTCCCCAGTGCGAACATGCTTTCCCTTAAATTCGCGTCGCGTGTGCCTTCACCTTCACCCTCACCGTTGAGAATCCGTCCATTCCTTACTGAAGAACTCCCCCCGGCCTTTACAGATGCGCCCCGCCGCCGCGCGACGCACAGAACAACTGATGAAAACCCTAAAAACCCTGAATAACAAATGATAATAATAATAATTAGTATATATATTATATATTTTATATTTTATATTATGTGCACGTGACGCATTGCACGTGCGTGGTGTACTCCAGGGCCGACATGAAGAAGTCCGCGAGCTTCATGAAGAAGCGCTCGGTCCTGGCGGCGGTGGCGGGGGCCATGGACGAGGAGACGATGGGGGATGCGGTGGCGGCGGGGAACTCCAAGAGAAAGAAAAAGAAGAAGAAAAAGGCGGGTGCGGGCGGGGAGGGGGAGGACGGCGGCGAGGATGGGGAAGGCGGTGGAGAGGAAGGCGACGGCGGCGGCGACGGCGACGGAGGGGGAGAGGACGGCGGAGGCGGAGTGGGAGCGGAGGACAGCGCTGGCGGCGGTAAGAAGAAGAAGGGAAGGAAGGGCGGCAAGAAGAAGGACGACGGAGCGGCGGGCGAGGAGGGGGAGGAGGGCAGCGGCGCAGCCGCTGGCGGCGGCGGCGGCGGTGAGGAGGTTGACGGTGAAGGTGACGCCGGAAAGGGAAAGGTACGGAGGAAAACTACCAAGATCAAGGCCGCCGACGGGGTCCTGGCCGCGGAGCCAAGTACCGGGGCACTGGCGTCGGAAGCAAGTCGGGGGCCTGACGGCGCCGCTGGAGAGGCAGGTACGGAAGGTACGGAACCCGCGGCGGAAGACTCCAAGAGCG